ACTGAGTAAAAACAGTGGAGCAAGGAAATGTAAATGTTTTTCATGAGTCTAGATTCATACTATCAAAATATCCTAAATCAAGTTTATGAAACCTGAAAGGGAGTTTTGAGCAGTTGCAGCCCAGGCTGTATCTGCTAATCCACTCTCTGAAGAGCGGCTGACATGACGTCTGGGATGGAAAACATTCCATAAGTAACTGTGGAGGGTGTGGTGGCCCAGCAGCCTGCAGGGTAGCACAGAAAACACATTGATTCCTCCTGCCTACTGTGTCTCCAATTAGGTCCAGTGCACCAAAAATGGCTGCTGTGACTCGGCAGCAGTGAGGGAGGGTCACGAATTAGAACAGAACTACTGGAATACCAAGAAACACTCATTTTTTCCAAGAGATGCTTACTGGCCACTGCTCACGCTGTTAGATCACTCACAGTGGGATTGAGCACAGTGCTTCCTCCTAGCTGCACTTGCCAGCATGTCATGCTGCACACATGGATGGGATCTGTGTTTCAGTGTGAAGCCTGTCCTTTTGACTAGAAAGACAGAGCATGCAGAAGTACATTTCTGAATATTTTAAACATATCTAGCACATCCTGTGGTTGTAGGAGCTGGATAACAAGAGCACATTTATTTAAAGTCTCAGAGGAAAAATACGTCAAGGCCTTTGAAAAATCTCATGTTTCCTTTTTTCTTTTTTAATCTACTCATCGAGTGATTTCTTTTTTCTTGACTGACTGTTTTGTGTACAGCAAATATGGATGTATATATTAAAATTGCTATCTTCAGACATACAAGTCACAGAGGAATATATCAGTGACTTCTCTCTCAGCTTGTCTATCAATACGTTGTAGCATCGTGTATACAAAGTGCAGATTTGTGTCAGATAGACCACACTTGTTAACAAACTTCCAAAGCCAAGAAGCAGCATGTTCCAAGTCTGCTATAAATCACTCAAACAAATGAAAGCAGCACTAAAATAAGCAATACTTCTGGTCACTTGTGCTATAAAGGAAAACAGCTTCTTAGAATTCATGAGTAGAGGACCAATCCAAGCCCACAAATGCTGATCTTGGATCTTCTGAGCATATGTTTAGAGTATAATAATGCCTGCAAAGCAGTGGAGACAAGGACAGAGAACTGCTCCTGTAACTGCTTATTGCTGCTTCAAGAGTCAGGCTAAAAAGAGACCGGAATGGTGCTTTGCTGAACAAAGGCTCGGAAGAAGGAAACTGCAATACCTTTTACTCTCTGAGACTATGGACCTTTATGCTGTTAATGCTGAAGAGAGACACAGAAAGGTCCTGCAAAGCTCGCTGGCAGAACAGCTGCCCTTCCAGAAGGCAGATCTACCCAAGGGAAGAGTGCTGGGCTTGCTGGCCTCTGGAGAGGGCACTTGGAGACACTGCTGTGGCTGCAGGAGGACTGCCCAGCGCACACTCCACTTCAGCAGCTCCAGCAGCAAGTGGCTTGGCGCAGACCTGTGGGGCTGTCGTTGCACGGGTGGGCACAGGGCAGGGACAGAATTAGGAAAGCATAAAACTGGCTTAAAACAACTGTTTCTACCCCCACCCTTGCTCCTTTCCCATGCCCAGTGGAGTGACTGGTATAGAAATAGCTGTCCTTCACTGGCCTGCTTCACAGGCACGTGCTTCAAAGTTATCAGTTAGTGCATGCAAGAAACACAGAAATGCCAAACTTTGTAACACAGCTTCTTTTAAATGCTTGAGATACTGCTACAGAGACATTATTCAAAGACAGCTATGGGCAGATGATATTTTAAGAAGAAGCTTCCAAAAACTTTGTGTTTCTTGTCCTGTGACAAGCCACATGACTAGGCACGTCATTCTGTAGGGGGTGGGGGAAGAGTCCAGCAGTGTGGGAAAGAGACGGTCAGGACTACATAATGTATTTGTTTGTTTTCCTGCTTGAACAACAGAGCCACAGAATGACACAGAACCAAACAGCTATTTAAAAAAAATGAGAGTTGTCCTGCTGAGTACAATGGTAATATAAAAATGCAAAAGCATTCTTGTCCAGTGCATGGACAGGTTGGGATGTAGATCATAAAAGAGATTTGGGAATTAACTTCCCTGAGGACTGGTATCATCATGGTCAGCATCCAGTGCAAGAAAATTTTTGTCTTTTGAAGTATTGTATGAGATCTAACAATAAGATCTCTCCAGTTGTGGAAACTGAACTTCACTTCAAAAAACAAGCATCACCTTGCTCTTCCATGTTACTTGGCTGTGGGCCTACTACTCATCCAGCATTTCCCAAGGAGGTCCTTCTATCCCACTGCTGAGGGTCTCTCAACAGGGCAACACCTTCAAGAACCAGCAGGAGCGTCTCCCTGCTAGTGTGGGGTGAGGAAGCTAATGCTGCTGCATGAATTAACAGCGTGCTCAGGTTTTGGCCAGGCCTTTGATGAGGATGGCAAGTGTTCTGCTGGCTACCTTATGGAATGCTGTCACAGAGAGGTGCTGTGATGCTGCAGCAGCCGAGGATTGGTACTTGCAGGTGTGCACATTGCCTAGTTGACGCAGGAACCCGGGCTTGGATTTTTCCTGCTTTCACAGCTATTTTAGGAGAGGGGAGGTAGTCACATGTGGTTTTCTTACAACTTCTCTTTCAATACTTGACTTTGTGGGGCCCAGTCCTGTTTTCATTGGAATGAATAAGCTTTCTGTCATTGACCCCAGTTTAAACCCTGACAATTTATTATGGACTTCACTGCTAATGTAGCTAAGCATCTTATGATCTAAAATGTATTTTAAAAAATTATTTACAATATATTTTATACATATTTTGGAGCACACTTCTGAGACAGAAAAGTTCCACAATCATCTTATAGTACAAAGAACTAAGATACAGAAGGAGAATGGGCTGGCAATGCAAAGTGCCTTAGGTGTCTACAAAGCTGACTCTTAAGTACCTATACGTTTTCCTCAGTAAAGCAGAGTATGCTGAGTGAGCCATGCCACGTACACCTTGATGTGCTGAGCTGCTTGGCACATAAACCTAGCTTTGCCTTCCGAGGCAGACGCTGTTTCCTCAGCTTTCTTCCCTAATGGGGCCCAGTTCAGTCTCCAATAGCCTTTAACCCCTTTGAGGAGGAAATGCCACTGCCACTGACTTCCACACAACAGTCTGAAGGTTACAGGTCTTGCCAAACTGTACAAAACCCAGATATGAATTCTTTGGCTGCCTGGTTTGGATCAGCAATTTAAACCTCAGTGAGTATGCCAAACATGAGTTTCCAGGGGCAGTCCCTCCTGGATTTCCTGCTGCATTAAAGCATGTGTGTGTACGCTGTCACTGAAGAGTGACTCCACAGCTGGTGGCTCAGGCACACAGCTAGGTGTCACAGCTCCCAGGAGCAGGGGAGTCTGGAAGGTCAACAGGTCCCCTTTCAGCCCGCCAGCTTCCAGAAATCACACTCCCACTGCTCAGTTGCAATTGCTGCCAGGCAGCTGGGGATCCTGAGGCAGTGTAAGGTACTCCTCTGGGCAGCAAGGCTCTTGGAAGCCCGTGGTGTGATGATCTGTACTTGGTCACATCAATTCCTTTCACTTTACTTGCCAGCACCTCTTGTTGTGTGTCATATGGTCCTGGATCACAGAAATCCAACCATCTGTGCTCTGGATGAGTGGAGGAACTGGTGCTTTCCCAGGTCCTCCTTTGAGGCAGAGCTGGGATGTGCCCTTAGCTTGTAGCTGTACCCACAACCACGAAAGCACCCCTCTACTTAGGAACCTGTATGCAATCTCTAGGTTTTGTCATATGCCTGGGGTGATGTAGGAAGTCTACACTGGCAGAGAACTGGGATACATCATCTGACTACCTCCCTGGAGCTCTACCCACTGGAAGATATTTTTTCTCAGTGGGAACAGGATGGGATATTTGAGAAGCAATTCAATTAGCTTCTTTGAAACAATCAGAGTTTCTGAAACATTTGGCCTGTAGCTGATAAAGCTTCTTGCCATGGCAGTAGCTGCCACGTCATGTCTAAATTCTATGTGGAAATCACTGATGATTAAACAAGTCTTTATCTCATGTTTTTACAAGCTACTCAGAAAAAAGGCTTTATCTACCACAAAGAATTATTTGGAAGGCACATTGATTTTTATCTTATTGGTTGGATTGTAACTTCATTAATGTTGATCTGCCTCAGTACAACTATAGGCTTATGTAGTCACCTTTGATGACAGTGGTAAGGGCAGCAGCTCCCACTGTTTGCAAACTCTCTCAGATGAGAAAAGCTCCTAGGAGAAAAGACGCAGCTATGTTCTAGAATTATTTCTTTTTTTTCTGACAAAATACAGGAAACTGGGGTTAGTTGGCAAGAGGGATGGGAGAGGAGGGCATACAAATAAGTACTATTTCAATAAGATTATGAAAGCAAGTAAAACTTCAGGTAATTTCCTCCAATTCTGCTGACAGTAGCTGATCTGGATTTTGTTTTGTTTCAAAATAGTGCTGCTGGGGAGAGATAAGCACAGTGAGAGAGAAGTAAACCAGTTTTTCAGCATAGACACCTCCAGAATGCATGCATGCTGTCCCTTTAAATCTTACAAGCTTTCATGCTCCAAGTGCTGGAGGGATATTCTGCAACATGGAGTTTCAGGCAAAATTCCTAATTGAACTGATCTGGTTTGCAGGCAGGAAAAGTACTTGTTTATATTTAAGTATCTTCTCGCTGGGCAGTTAAAATGTGTTTTCAAATATCAAGCTACAATAGAAGCCATTAAAAACCCCCAACATTTTCCAACCGCACACAATTGCCCCAAATAATTCCTATTCAAATTCAGGGAAAAATTATGGTACGACTTCTGATACTATGATGAGGTCAGCTGTTGGCAAGTGTTAGTATTTTAATGACAACCATAACAGTAATTCATTAGCACTATTAGAACAACAGATTTAGCTGGTGTGAAATGGATTGGTGAACAGTCTACCTACCTGGAACAAATTCTTGTCTTAAATGAGAGTTAGGAATGGTGACTTACCAGCTCTAAGAACCTCCTCACCACCTGTCTTTGTTTTAAGTTGGTTTCCCCATCCAGGTTAGCTGTTTCTATGTGGCACAGCCCATCGGGATCACTTGAGGAGAGCAGCAATATGTCAGCAGGTATAATTTCATTACAGCGAAGCTGCACAAAGTCTCCAACTTTCACTTCTTTCCAGTACCTGCTTATATATTTCTTCTCATTTCTGGAAAAAAAAAAGACATTTATAGGACATATATTAAAAAAATTGCACAGACTGGGGTGCTTCTGGTAAGATCTGGCTTGATTTGTAACAGGGGCACAGTGTCTTTGGAAGGTGCTCAGGTACTCTCAAGCAACGTTGGGCAAAGGCAATGCAGAGGGCCAGGAGGCCACTGAGTCCAGCTGACTCACAGCCAGGTCTGTGTCCCCAAGACGCTCT